AGCACAGCAGCCACCAACATTCCCCTACCTGGGGACCAAATGTCCTCTCTGCCCTGAAGTGGCAATCTGGGTGATTGCCTCTACAGATACATGTAAGAGTATTTTTATTGTTTATTGTTTATTGTTTAATTGTAACTCGCTTAAAATATATAAGCATGTGGACCAGAATTGGAAAGTAATAAGCAAATGAAAACAGGAGCACTATGAATAATGATTGTTTTTCTTTTTCGAAGTTAAATACAAGGATGTTGCCATCAAACCAGTCTTACCCTTTAAAAGAAGTGCTGAGATCTCAGAAAATACAATTCATAGCTTTAACAACATCATATATTATACATTCATATGGCTATAATGATTCCCAAGCCAGTTTATCTGCTGTATGCAGGGAGCTTCTAAGCACCTTGATGTGTGCTAACTTACTAAATCTTCTCAATAACCCTAAGGTAGGAATTTTTGTTAACAATTTAACAGAGAAGGAAATTGAGTTTCTAAAAGGTTAAGACATGCAAGATCTACCTATCTGGTAAGTGATGGAACCCAGGTTTGAACCTATGCACTAGGACTCTGAAGTCCTTCCAACCCGGCTTTACCCCTTTTCACATGGTACCCCTGACATCCCCTTGCAATGGCAGTAACTTTTCTTCTCAGTTTTCATTTCTTCTTTTAAAAAACAAAGAAACGGCGGAGTAATAAAGCTATCACTGTAAGACTATGCTAAAGGATAAAAAAAAATTGCCTTCAAATTCCCCATTTGAAAGTCTTTTGAGATGTAATGTCTTTTAGATGCCAGTGGAGATTGTAAGAGTAAAGTTATATTATTTTCCTTTAAAGAATCAAGTCTCTCTTCTGCTCTCAACACAAAACAGGAAGCTTTACAGATAACCTGTTTGAAGAATGATTCTCTCAGAGTTGAGGCTTTATGCTCTCAAGAGACTGAGAACTCCAATCTGTCAGGAACTCAGAGGGAACTGCCTTCAAGCTAATCACTAGGGACCATTTCTCATCCTCTGGGGTGCTATGGAAAATTCAACTCAAATTCATTAACAATCTGAAAGCTAATTATTTCACCAAAAGATCTTAGTGAATTTCTATATTAAAAATTCCCAGCTGGGGCACCTGGGTGGCTCAGTTGGTTAAGCACCCGACTCTTGATTTTGGCTCAGGTTGTGATCTTAGGGTTGTGAGATCGAGCCCCGCATGGGGCTCCACGCTCAGCTCAGGGTCTGCTTGAGATTTTCTCTCTCCCTCTGCCCCACCCCCTAAACACCCCCTCCAAAATAAATAAATAAATAAATAAGTCTTTAAAAAAAATTCCCAACCTCAAAAATGGTCCTTTCCTTCTCAGAATGGCCATGGCTTTTATAACAGCCAAGCCCCTTAGAACCTTTCTCCCACTGGAACGCATATTGTACATGCCAGGTGAACAAGGCCTCCAAAAGGGGCACAGGTTGGTCATCACAATGGATACTTTATTTGAAATGGAATGCATTTTGAAAATATGAAAAATAAATCACATCTCTCCAAAATCATTTGAGACATATTTACACAAATTATGACCACACTATTAAGTTCACAAATGTGACATTTTCTAAAGCATTTGGTACCTGGTGATGCTTGGTTTTCAGAAGCTGACATTTGCATATTCTAAAACTAAGCATAAGACTGACGGTGGAATGCAATGGACAATAGTTTTATCTTTCTTCTCAAAATAAGTACAGTGATCCAGAAGAACCACCTATTATTAAACCTTCCCCAATGCCTAACTGATCACCGACAGGTCACTTCAAAGCAGGTTGCCGTAGGTCTTACCAGCTTTTATGCAGATGCTTCCAGAGTCCTTCTGCTGCCTTCACTAGACAATCGTGCCCTGCCAGAAAAACCCTGTTGGATTCTATCCTCCATTTGGCAAATGTCCTGCCAACAAAGTCACAGACCCCTTTGTCATCCAATCTTCTGTAAATCTAGATTGGCTGTTCAACACTGCAGATCAAAAAGTCACCCTTCGAATTGTGTCAAGAATTTAGAAAACAGATCTTTAAAACCCATTCAACAGAATTCCACAATTAATACATCTTAGGTTGCTTTAGGTAAACATGCGTATTTCTTTTGAAAGAATGGCTGATACACTCAATGTCAAGCTCCATAATTCCCAAGTTTAAATTTCAGGCTGCGGCTGAGGGCAGTTTATTGGTAAAGCAAAAGCAAATTAGCTTGACATTTACAAAAGAGAAGAAGGAATACTCCCAGGCCCATTTTCACCTACAAAGCTCTGAGCTCCATGGGATTGTTCCCGTCTCACTCAAGTCTCAGAACCTCTCTTCAGCCTGCCCCTGCCCAGGACACTGCAAATGACTGGAGCCCAACGAAAACCAAGTCACTTTCCCTGGGGACAGAAAACATGCAATGTGCTTGAACTCACACACTGGCAACAAACTCGTGTAGTGTCAGATTTAAAGTGAGGGGCCTTAAGAGAAAGCAAGTGTTGGTGTATGAGGGCAGGAAAGAGTCAAAGCAAGCCTTCCTCGTGGTGTTTACATGGGAAGGGAGCTCCTTTAAGCAATGAGTTGCTTTTTGGTTTTTGGTTTTTGTTTTACCTCCACTGGAAAAAACACATGAAGTGAAATTATAAAGTCGGGTTGATTTCTACATGATGAGAGAATCCCAGCTTCCTCTATGACAGAAATGCTCACTTTGAAAGGGCCCTTTATAGCCATTTACTCTCTGACCTCAGCACTCCCTGTAGGGCACACGCAGATGCATGTGCATTTCTGCTAAGAGTCTGTCTAAGGAGCTTCGTCATGAGGCTTAGCCTGCCCAGTGGTACTTGTTCTCAGGAACGACATGAAAGCCAGTGAAGGAAGCACTGTGTGAGGCAAGAGAAACCACCTCCTGGATACTGGGAGCTACATATTTTTTCTTCTTTCATTCATTTGTCCCAACAAATAGTGATTGAGCTCACTGTGTCCAAGGCTTGGTGTCAACACAAGTTCAAGGACAAAAGTTCAGTTTCCAGATGGGGACATGCCTTTTCATGTCTTCTTCCATTCCTTTTCCAACTCTTTACATTGTGTTTATTTAAGGGGTGCATTTTCTATGGGACCTGTCCTTTCCTTTTTCCTTTTCTTGGACTGAAAGAATCATTTTTACCTTTTTCCATGATTTGTCAGGCCTCAAAATACCTTAGGTGGTTTGTATCATTTTCTTACAGAATATGGTAGAATTTGGGCACTGACACATTAAGCGATTTACATTTATATTTTGTTTTGTTGTTTTGGTAAGCCTGTTTTCTTTTGTTGTTGTTCTGAAAAAATGATTCAGCCATAATCATTTCAAAGTGTCAAACAACAAAAAACATCCTATTTCTCTTTCTAATTTCTGAGGTTTCACAGGTAAATGCTAAGAGGGGTTCAGACTAGAGAGCCACTGAGAGGGTCAACTCAATGTAAACCACAATAACAACCACAGCCATGGGGGGGTGGGGGCAGGAAAAAAATTTCCAGCAGCCAGGAGGGAGCCTGGGCATATTTTTTTGAACAACACTACCTAGCCTATATGTCAGCTAACAACATACAAATACCTTTTAAAAGCCCACATGAAACTTCATTTTAAAAATATTTGGTATGGGCGCCTGAGTGGCTCAGTCGTTAAAGGTCTGCCTTCGGTCATGATCTCGGGGTCCTGGGATTGAGCCCCGCATCGGGGTCCCTGCTCCGCGGGAAGCCTGCTTCTCCCTCTCCCACTCCCCCTGCTTGTGTTCCCTCTCTCGCTGTCTCTCTGTCAAATAAATAAATAAAATCTTTAAAAAAAAATACTTGGTATGGACTTTACTTTTATAGCACAAAAACTTGAAAGAAAAAACTATGGTTTAATCAGGGGTTATATGATCTGCATATATTAAAACAATACAATGAGACATTATCTAAAAAGCACAGCAGTAGTCTCAAGAGAGGCCAAACCACACTTCAGAACTCCTGAGCTTTGCTGTCGGAACTGCCCATCATATATACATATATGTGTGTGTGTATATATATGCTTCTGACCTTCGTAGCATATTTTCATAGCTGTGACTTAGCCACTGGAAGTGGGAATCCCTTAAGTTTTTCTTGCCATTTGCCTGAGTTTTTGTTTTTCCCCACAACTTTGCGGATTAGAGTTGTGGTCTCAAAATTTTGTCATTTAAGTATTGCACTAAAAAGTAATTAGATCTAAACTCCTTCCTAGGTGGAAGGAGAATAAAGACATCTCTAGCATTAAATTCTACTCTTGTTTCTGTACTACCTAACTTAGCAATAGCCTAATACTGACCATTCCCATTTGGATGCTGGAAAAATACTATCAAGACTTTGTGGGAAAGAGAATGGAAAACAGAGATCGTCAGTAAAGCCGTGCAGATAGGAAGTGATTTTCAGCCCCAAGAGGATTTGTTATCAACTATGGCTCTTTTTAAGCTTAAGTAGCATCTGCCCTTGTGGATTTTGATCATCCTTTTGATTTGACACAGAAGACGGTTTGTTCCACCTTTAAAAAGCACATGCTCCCCCCTCCACCCCGCCCCTCAGACTCCTGAACAAGTAGATGCTAAAACAAGACTGGGTTGTTTTCTCACTGAAAATCCAGTGTTTATCCAGTCCTTCCTTTTTCAATTTCTGAGTTTAGTTAACCTAACTGGAAAACATAGAACCCTCAAATTTCTCACAGAGCAATAAAAAGCAAAACAGTTGGTTTCTCTCATCAACATTATTTTCAGTACAAATACAAAAAAGTTATGACTCCTAGTCCTTCAAAATATTTACAAACTGTATTTTAAACTATGAGATTCTAGAGTATATTTCTAGAATACAGTAAAAGGGTCAGAAAATGTGGTTCAAGTAGAGTGTGCAAAGCTAGAGAAGGGTAATCTCTAGTGTGAATAAGAGCACAAATGTTCTCTCAAACAAACTGAATGGTTCTCTTTTCCCCCCACTGTGTTTTTTGAAACACCTAGTGCATTCATACTCAGAAATCATAGAAATCTCCTTATTAGTCCCTTCAAACGGATGCTATAAGCAAGGCTTTTCCTGCATTACACCAGCCCTACCATATATTCATGGTATGTTCATCCTGCCATCAGTTGGGTTATGTATTAAATATTTGGAATTAGACATCATTACTACAAATTTCCTTTTAGAAAAGCAATTAGATTTTCATAGTTCTACAATTCTGAACATTTAGCTTTTTAAACTTCTATTCTACAGAAAATATATGTCTAAGAAAAAAAATCTCAAAAAAAGAAGTAATATCACAGAGTTTAATTTCAACCACCTGGCATAACAATGAAAGTGTCAGACCTTCTGAAAATGCCCTAGGAATAATGAATGAATTCTTAATGTTTTCCCCTCCACCACCCTTCTACTTTTTTTTTCTTTTCCAAGATTAGAATTTACTAGGGAATAGGTTTTTGAAAATAAAGTTTCTTTTTTGGAAAATGGCCTACATTCAGAAATGTCTTAAAACAAGCATTTTTTAAAAAACTAATAAATAATCATAAATCAAAATACATTAAAATAAAATTACAGTACATCATTGCTCCTAGAAGGTCCACCATACTGGAAGATCCTTTCAAAGGTTCATAAATAAAGCCTTCTGGACTGAAACCGTTTCCTGCATTATGATGAAGAGTATGCGGAAAACTAAGAGGAATCTCAAGTTATCAGTAGGGTGATGTCCAAACTACTTGATCTGGTGCGGGGCGGGGAGACTTTTGTTCTCGATTCAAGTGAAGACAATAGAAAGGTGCTCGTCCCACTTCCTCAAGTCCTCAAAACCTGGAAAGAAATGACAGGAAATTAAGTCATTGGCTCAGAATCCTCCAAAACCCAGCTCTCTTAGGCCAGTCCGGCGGACAAAGCGCGCTCAGGAAGACACGGGGCTCGCTCCGTCGAGTGTCCGACACTCGAGCGGCTCTGGTGACACGCACAGAGCCGCTGGGAAGCGCACCACCGGACCCGCGCGGGCCAGGGTGGGCGGGAGGCCGTCCGCGAGGCTGCCCAGCCTAAACCCAGTTCCTCCATCCTCCCCTCTCTGTCCGGCCTCTGCTAGCTCCGGCTTGCTTCCCTTCTTTCTACATCTCCAGAAACTTGTAGTGACTTCTCATTTTCCCCTCCAAGCACCACACCCGTGAATTAGGCTTCCTACTCCTCCCAACAGCCCGCGAGATCTCCTTGGAAAGGCTCTTGGTAGCCCGAGTTGCCGGGACCTTACCTTGTCTGGCCCGGGTGCTGCCCTCTTCAGGCAGAGTTGGAGGTGCTGCGGAGAAGCCTGTGGCCGTGCGGCTGCGAGAGCGGCTGTTGGTGCGAGTGCGGTAGTTGGTGTGGGTGCGGGTGCGGGTGCGGATACGGGTGGAGCTGCTGGGGCTGGGGCTGGGGCTGGGGCTTGGCATGGGGCTGCGGCTGAGACTGTGACTGGGGCTGGGGCTGAGGCTGAGCCTGGGGTTGAGGCTGGGGTTGGGGTTGAAGCTGCGGCTGCGGGGGCTGCTGCTGGACCAGGTGCTGCTGCTTCTGACGTGTGGACTTGACCGCCAGGATAGCCTGACGATTCTTGTACTGCACCATCTGCAGCGTGATCTCGGCGTTCCAGCCCTGGTCCTGCGGGCACCGAAAGTCGATCTCCTTGCCCTCGGCCATCACCACAGTGAAGTACATATACTTGCCCTTGCGCTCCACGCAGTCCACGGTCTTCATGTTGGAAAAGTGTAATTCCTTGAGCTTGACCGGCGGCTCGAGGCTGGCCACCGCGGGCCCTCCGGGTTGGGACGGTTCGGCTGGCCCCTGCCCAGGCTGTTGCTGCTGCTGCTGCTGGTGTTGCAGCTGCTTGGGCGGGATAAGCAGCAGCCCCTCCTCAGTGAGGATGCAGCACTTTTTCTTCCAGAGCTGCAGCAACCCGTCGCTGCGCTTCTCCAACACACCCTCCTTCAGCGCTTTGCAGCCACTGCTCTCCAACATTCTCCCGGCATAGGGAGGGGCGCCGCTCGGCTCGGCCTCTCCACTTCCAGCCGCCCGGGCCGGGGGCAGCAGCAGCAGCCGCGCGCCGTCCTCGCCCCAGCGGCTCCCGCGGCCGCCCGCCCGGAGCGCGCAGAGGAGGCTAACACGCAGGAAGCAGAGCGGCGGCGGCTCGGGATCCGGGCAAGCGGGCAGCCGCGTCCTGATGCGCCACAAGGTCCCGGAGCTGCGAGCCTCCGGGCCTCTGCCGTCCTCTTGCGAGCGCTCACTGAAGGCCACTGGCCGGGCCCCCTCGCGGCGCTTTTGAATGGGCCATCTCCCCCACCCCCGAGTGACACCCAGCGGAAAAGGCGGCTCCTGGCGCCCGCACCGCGGGGGAAAGCCCAGCTCGGAAAGGCGCTCTACCGCCGGCGCACGCCTCATTAACTTGGGGCCTCTCCAAAGCCCGCCGCGTCCACGCCCCCCGCATCCCTCGCTCCGCCTCTCACCGCCCACTCGCTTCCGCGCTCCTTCCCGGCGCGGGCTGCAGGGACCCGAGCCCCGGAAACTCCTCTCCTCCGCCTGGGGCGACTGCCGAGGGCGCCCCAGCTGCCCGGCGACAAATGCCGACGTCCAGAGGGCGCCGAGAGGCCATCCTACTGTCCCGCGTATCCCCGGCCGGCAGGCTCTCTACCAGCCTCATTAAATGAGGACGGGGGCTGCGAGGGTGGGTACGGCTACCAGGCAGTGCCTGGAATGCCAAGCTGTCTCGCTGCCCTTGAGAAGCGGCCCCGGGGATTCACGATGTGCTCCGAGACCCTGTGTAAACATCTGAGGGCACAAAAGCCGAGAGGACACGGTGTCTACACTCACGTTTGCTTCCAGTCATTAGCTCTTCTTGGAGCAGAGAGGGCGATTGTTAAATCAAGGCAATAGCGCTGCCGTCTGTCCCGTTTGGAAGGGCCAGTAGAGAAGGGTGACCCACTTCAGAGGACGTCTCACCTTCCCTTTCTCGACCCCGGAGCTCTGGCACTAGCCTATCTTCACCCAGGACACAAGCTCTGTAGATTCCTTCTTGACCCATCCGCACAGCCTGCAACATCTCACAACAGTAACTCAACTGCAGCTACGGATCCCGGGAATGTCCAGCGAGAGACCTCACATTTTAAGGCACAGCTTAGCCCTCCAAACAGCCGAATGGCCTCCGCGGGTCTCTTTGGAAACGCCTAACGGGCCAGATCGGTTTTGCAATCTCATTCATCTGTGACCTGGGGAAGGTAATGCTGTGCTCGCCCCTAGTTCCCTCCTACTACTCTCGCATCTTAAAAAATTGTGTAGGGGCGCCTGGGTGGCTCAGTTGGTTAAAGCGACTGCCTTCGGCTCAGGTCATGATCCTGGAGTCCCAGGATCGAGTCCCGCATCGGGCGGGGCGTCAGCTTCTCCCTCTGACCCTCTTCTCTCTCGTGCTCTCAAATAAATAAAATCTTTAAAAAAAAAAATTCTGTATTCTGGGAAGCAAGGCAGAATCAAGAGCAAAAACCGAAACCAAACCTGTTGGTGGGGAAATTCATCCATTAGAGAGCCCCGAATGTGTACCGACCCCGAGAATACGAAGAAACACACGAAGAAGAAATAAACCAGAGTTGGCCGAAGGAAGAGGAAAGACTGCTTCTTGTGCCCAAGAAAGGAGAGAGGACTTCGCTCATCTGCTGGTTTACTTTGGCGGAAACAAAGAATTCAACAAAGAAATGAGCGAGGAGCTTGGGGAGCAAGTCAAATCCTTTGTGTCATGCTGAAAAATTCGAACCGAACTCCAGGGTAATTGAAAACACAGAACTTTTAAACACAGGAGGGTACTGAATCTTAGTATAAGAAACGTCTTAGCAAATGGGACAATTCCAGCACAGTCCTGAATCTGAACTGCACTTGGTAGGCTCTGAGAGCCTTCAAATTGTTAATGGATTAGGGCATGATCCCAGGGTCCTGGGATCGAGCCCCGCATCCGGCTCCCCGCTCAGCGGGAAGTCTGCTTCTCCCTCTCCCACTCCCCCTGCTTGTGTTCCCTCTCTCGCTGTGACTCTGTCAAATAAATAAAATCTTTAAAAAAGATATTAAAAATTGTTAATGGATTAGCAGTTTTCTATGGAGAAAGGCAATTATTAAAATCACATAAAAATTTCTAGTAAGATTGTTTTAAAAAATGAACAATTCTATATACCAGTGACAAACCCTGCACCTAACATCTCAGTTCTTTCGCTGTCTTCGTGGGACAAGTGACCATTCCAGAGAATTTCTACATGACCAGCTGTTCATCTTTTAACAGAATGCCATTCTTCAGCTTATGTGGATAGTGTGCAACTCACTCTCTGAGGGCACGTGTAGTTAAGAAAGACATTTCATGTGGAAAAATGATACAATACAAACTTGACTGGGTAAAAAACTAAGATGTAATCTTGAAGTGCAAGCCATTATCTTAAGAGAAAATATGTTCAGTGTTATCTAACCTTCTGCAGTTAATCAAGATGCAGCAGATGCATTCTAAATTAATTCAAAATGTCTGAAAACCAGCACAATTTTCAAATTTCAAAAACCAGCACTTATTTTATAACTAGATACTTTACCACCCGATTTCCACCTAGATATTTCAATGATTTAATGACTTTGTGAACAGCTCAGAAGTCAGTCTACAATATGCCTTCCCTGACCACAGTGCATCGATTATTAGAGATCTCAGGTGTGTAGGAATCTTGTAGTTCAGTGACAACTTTGCTCTTTCAACAGTCACATCCAATTCACAAAAATGGCCATGTTGGCCATGTTTTAAAAATACCATGAAAAAATTTCACAAAAAAAAACCTGTTTTGCCCAGAATACCACAAACCTTTAGCTGTAGATATAATGAAACCCTACAAAATGTCACAAGTTACTAAAGTTTCAAAATTGAAATCACTGCTTTGGTAAACCAGTTTGAAAAGGCGGATTCAAATTGCATATTACAGCTGTCTACATCACATTGTGTATCAGCAGCATCTGACAGATCAGCTTCCCCTCTTGGAAGCAGTTCTTCACTTGGCTTCAAGGACATAGCTCTTAATTTTCCTTCTACCTCCCCAGTCACTCTCAGTATCCTCTATAGGTTCCTCCTCTTCCCCCCATCTTTTAGTATTAGAATGCCCCAGAGAGCTGTCTTCGGGTCTCCTGTTGGTCTCATCCAGTCTCATTTTTAGGAAAATGCCAGAGACTCCCCAATTTACATCCAACTTCTTGTTGACAAAGAATAAAAGGCTACCACGTTTAAGAAAGAATATTAACATGCCAGGCAAGAGAACACATACCGGTGAAGATATTCATGGAGTAGGAAGAGTCTAAGAGGATTTTAGGCTGTGGAACATAGGGTTCCTAGAGCTTTTGCTAATAAAAACCTGAAAAATCCCATTCTGGATAGGATGGAGTCCCTGGATGGAACTGGTTCAATAAGGATCTGGAGTTAAAGCCATGTTTTGTTTTGTTTTTTTGTTTTTAATAGTTTTTTAGTTTTAACAGCCTTCAGTTTTGTTATGTTCAGGCCAGGGTTACTGAAGGTTGAACATTTTTTTACTCTTCTCTACAGTACTATTTGGATATCTAATAAAGAACTCAAGTATCACCCTGATCTGCTTTACCTGCAATTCCCTTCTCAGTTGATGGCAATTTCACCTGTACAGTTGCTCAGGCCAAAAACCTTGGGAGTATTGCTCTTAAAACAAGAAGCCCTTATCCAGAGCCTTGAGCTTTAAAAGAGTAAAATGACATGCCTATTTTAGAGTTCATACTCATTCTAGACCAACTCTAGGTACTCAGGATTCCAAATACCCTGCCTAAATGTGTTCAACTGTTGAAGGAATGCATTACACCAGTGTGTGCACTAGTGTATAAGGGGGGAGTGGACAGATTTTGAACATGCAAGCTACAATACCCATATAGATGGGCAGGAGGCCCCCTTGCCATACAATTCAGAGACAGGGATAAGAAGAGGCCAGGCTGAGGATCAGCTCTCCTCTTGAGTAATGTTCTGGCACTGGACTTTAAATCTGGCTTTTCAGGTTGTCAAGACAGGTGCACCAAACGTATTTCCATTTAACAAAGCTTTAAAATATTTAACCATTTCTGTCTCCATTGCATTCTTGCCCCAGGACTGCAAATACTTAGAAGCATACCTGCCCTGTAGTATATCCTTTACTCCTTTCTCTTGATACCCAATCCACAAATTGAGCCAGGAAATTCCATCAATTAAGTCTTCAAACTATATATTCTATTTCTCTCCAATTCTTTCATTACCACCCTGATCCAAATCACCATCATCTCTCCCATTACTGCAATGGACTCCTAACTTACCTAATTCTACCCTTGTCTTACAATCTATTTTCAATACAGCAGTCAGGATCATCCCACTTTCTCCCAGTCTGCTCAAATGTCATCTCAATGAGGCCTATCCTAATCACTCTAAAATTGCAACCACCCCATTTCCTTTCATTTTCCCCATAGTATGTATCATCTCCTAGCAGCTACTGAATAATTTATTATGCCTGGAATTTCACTTCCTCTTCAAGAGGGAGGGCAAGGACCATTATTTTGACGTGTCCCAATCACTTTGTGTAATTCTTGGCACATAGTAGGAACTCAATATATGTTTAATCAGTTGAAACTTAAACTGAATCTGAAGCCCATTACCTGTCATAAAAAGAAAATGTGTTCAAAGGCTTTTGACAGATTTTTCACAATGCATCCTTTCGAAAACTTTCAAAATGTAAGGGACTTTATGAAAAAACTCCCCAAACTCGCCATACCAGTATGTATTTGGTATAATTTTTTAGGAATACTACACATGCTAGGCCTCTCTCTAGATCTTAAATGCTATATCCTATAGATGCTATCTAAAATAAGTCCTATAAACTTTTCTGAGCAACATGCAATCTAGTATTATGAGAGGTATTTATACCAACTATCATCCTATTGGTTTTTAAGATAAGAGTAATCAAAAGAATGGAAAAACAATAATGGAACAGTTGATAGCAGTTTCTCCTACTTGGCAAATAGCCAAATACTTGTTTAAGAAGTCCACTAATCAATACTGGCCTAAAGACATTTGACTTAAAAGAAGTTGGTAATTTATTAAGAACTGTTTAACTTTCATTTATAACTTGATTATAAGATTTAAAAATCTATGAACTTCCTAATCTGCAATACACAGAAGATGCTCACAGCAATGTATTATTAAAGACTGGGATACAGGGGCGCCTGGGTGGCTCAGTTGGTTAGGCAACTGCCTTCGGCTCAGGTCATGATCCTGGAGTCCCGGGATCGAGTCCCGCATCGGGCTCCCTGCTCGGCAGGGAGTCTGCTTCTCCCTCTGACCCTCTTCCCTCTCGTACTATCTCTCATTCTCTCTCTCGAATAAATAAATA